GTATTCTAACTTTCTCCCTCCATGCAATTTTCTCTCTTTCTTTTTTCTTTGTGTGTGTGTGTGTCCAGACATTGGTAGCTGGCTGCAGTTATTTGGTTTCCAACTTCATAATGTTGTCCCAGGCTTCCCGAAACCTGAAGTGGGTAGAATGGAACAAACATATGAACTGATGAAGACCCAGACCAAGACACAGGACTGGGACTCCAGCAAGGTGAGCTTTCCACCACTACAAACCCCAGTCACATGCAGTGGTAAGGCTCTTTGAAACTGTGTGTCCCTGCGTTTAATGTTTGGTATATTCAAAATATATGTTAAAAAAAAAAAAATGTTTATGTATGTATTTTTGTTCCCCTCTTTCCTCCTTCTGTAACTCAGTGAAATATTTTCGATGACTCATCTGGGTTCTTCCTAATGGGCAATATGGCTAAAAAGAATGTTTTCTAATATCAGTTTGAGGGCTGAAATAATTAGGAAATCAACCAATTCGTCAATAGAAAATGAACACTTGAAATTTGATACGTTGTCAGTAAAGCCACTTAAAGGGAAAGTCTGGATATTTTGAGGTGGGGCTGTGTGAGGTACTTATCCCTAGTCAGTGTGTTACCTACAGTAGATGTCAGTTGGCACGCCCCCAGTTCGAAGAAGCAGGCTGGAGTACCGCCACAGAAGTTAATGTACTGCTGTGGGCGGGGGCAGCAACAAAACTTACTTTAGTAATCACTTTATTGTAATTTTACCACTTTATCTTGCTGTCAAACAGCTCTTTCGCACAGGCAACTAGAGCCGTTATCTATGCTCTCTTCAAAGCCGCCAGACTCCCTTGACAAAAACAGTCATTTTACCTTAACGAACACAGGAGCTGCTGGTCCACCACTGCTTTAATCGATTAGTTTGTTTGTTATTATGTAACTTTGGTGAATCCACAGTAACCATTTAAACCACCAAAGTCACACAGTAACACAAACTATCTAACTGATTGAGGCAGCTGTAGACCAGCAGCTCCTGTGTTCTGAAAGGTAAAATTACTGTTTTTGTCAGTGGAGTCTGGTAGCTTTGAAGACAACATAGATAATGGCTGCAGTTCCCCATTGGGAAAAGGCTGTCGAGGTAAAGAGGTAAAAATATTCTAAACATAGTGCACACTGAAACTGATAATGATATTTTCTAATTGGCCAAAATACAAATTTTTGCTGCCCCCATCCACAGCAGTACACTGCTTAGCTTCTGTCACAGTACTCCAGCCTGCTTTTCCAAACTGGAGGTGTGCCGAACGACTGCTACTGTACAGTGGCCGTAGATACCTCATACATCCCGAAAAAATTTGAACTGTCTCTTTCAGTCAAACTTTGCCTGGTTCCCAATTCTTAGGTGTAAATATTTGCTGCTTTTATCTGTTTCACATCACGATAAATTGAATATCTTAAAGAATTTGACTGTGGTCAAGTAAACAAAAAAAACCCCGTCAGATTAATTCATTATAAAAATGACTATTAGTTGCAGTCCTGCGTATCACAACATGAGTAAATTTATGTAAAAATGCAAAATAAACTTATGTTCAATTCAATTAACCATTCCACTATCACGCAGTGCATGGGACAAAACTCTGCAGATATGAAAAACAATAACTTTATTAATCCAACTCTGTTATTTTGTTTTTGTGCAATTTATTTTCTCTGCTTTATTAATTTGGTTAGTTTAATTACACAGTATGATCAATTCATCACAGTACGGCTACAAACAATATGCTCAGCCCTAATAGATGTTTTTTTTTATTTTTTTTATCACAGATGTAACAAGTCATTTCGGGAAACACATTGGTAAAAGTAAAGATATTAATTTTGGCTACCTTCCACTCAGGGTTGCCACTTTCCTGCATAGAACTTTTCACAGCAGACATTTTGACTTGTTATTGTAGGAAAAGCACAGGTGTTACTAATTATAACATTAATGACGGCTCTGTTCTATTCAGGGCTGTAACGCTTAAACAGTGTGACAACGTGCACAATACCAGGACCCTTAAACTGACACAGCCAAAAGAAGTTCAGCTATCATTAATTTTAATATTTACAGCTTTTCCCACTGTGGCGAGTCAAAAGTCTTTCGTTAAAAAGACCCACTGTGTGTGTGTTCAGTGAGCTATTATAACACACAAATGGAACAGAGCCATCATTAATGTGCTCTTCCTCTCAAGACAAGTCACATTATTTGCAGTATGTACGAGCATTCAGACCTGTGTAATATTTATTTGTTAACCAGTTGTACTTTCTTCCGCAGGTGGTTCTGGGGATCCAGTGTGAGCTGCGGAGACAGCTGAGGAGTTTCATCTCTCTGCAGAGGTTACCCCTGGTCTCTGAGCCTGTCGGCTCAACTTGCCACAGGCCGACACGTCCTCCTCCCTTCGGCTCCCGGCCCTCCCTTCTTGGCCCCAGCATCCGGTTTGCCGTCTCTCATGGCCGCGTCAGCGCAGAAGTCATCGGCGTAGCCAGCGAGGACAGCCGCCGCGTGGCAGCCATTTTAAATGGTGCCGTCCACCTGAGCGGGCTGAGCTTCACCGTGCACGGCTGCGACACCCATCACTTCCTGCAGTCCCGGCCAATTGAGGAAGACCTCGCTCTGGGGTTAGGAGTTGGGGGGCGTGTTCTGGAGAGCGGGGTGAATGTGAGTGTGTCTCAGATGAGCGCCACTGTGAACGGCAGGACTCGACGATTCGCTGATATCACTCTTCAGCAGGGGGCGCTGTGCTTGTGCGTGCGCTATGGAGGGAATGAGGAGGAGGAGAGGGCGCGGGTAAGGGAGGAGGCGAGGAAGAGAGCGGTGGAGGGAGCATGGGAGAAGGAGAAGAAGCGGGTGGATTTAGGGGATGTGGGAAGCAGGGCGTGGAGCGAGGCAGAGAAGCAGCAGCTACTGTCCGCAGGACTGGTTCAGGGTTACGACGGCTACTACTCCCTGCCTATAGAGCAGCAGCCGGAGCTGTCCGACTGCCCCTCCAACATCCACTTTATGACACTAAGCGAGGTGGGGGGCAGGTAACAGAGACATGTGAGCAGCCCCCCACCCCACCAAAGACTGCCTGTTTCTACTCTACTCTGATTTGTTCTACTGTTTCTATACTGTATCAAAAAAAGAAGACGACGACAAAGAAGAACAAGAAGAGAGATTGGGGGAAAAAATGATTTCCAAATGCCTTTAATTGTGACAAAATGATGGTATTTTATTATTATCGTCCAGTTCTCCAATTTCTAACAGTGGCACAAGCAGTGTGGTTTGGCTGTGGCTTTGCTTTTTGTATCCTGACTGGTCTGGGACTGACTGACTGACCAACCGACCAACTGACTCACTGACGGACCGATGGACTGACTGTCTGTCATTTGCTGTTTCAACACTGTTCATCATTTTGGACTCTGTTAAAATCCACTGAACTGTAGAGATGAAGACTTTAGGATTGCCAATGAATAATCCTCTTCATGACTCGAAATCAAGAGCTCTCCGGTTGCCATTTGAGTTCCTACATGGTTTACCTCGGATATACTATCGTTTACATATTGTGTAAGAGAGGCCTTGTCAACTCTGACACTCCCCTTTAGAGAAGGAAACCTCTCTTGGTTTTCCGCCTCTGGTGTGCTCCAACAGTAGTTTGTATGAGTGTGTATACTAAAATCAAGAATGTACATAGCCAGTGCTTTCACACTGAAAAAAGTGCTCAACTGGAAATTCTGTTGTTCATAAGTAAGTGTCAGTATTGTTAATCAATAGAAAAACAGTTACATTTTTGCAAAGAATTATACATGGCTATAGTAAATATTCTCGCTGAAAAATCTGACTTTATTGGGTTACAATGCTGATTAAAGTTATTATGTGTGAATTACCAGATTGCACGGTGGGATTTCATCGGCATTGTTGCTTATTATTTCTCTCTGCGTCTGCTCGCTTACTCTCTCTCTCTCTCTCTCTCTCTCTCTCTCTCTCTCTCTCTGGTGTCTTCTCCGTCTCTGTGCCTTTCCTCCACACATTTGTTGTGCGCTCTTTGTTCTTGTTTCTGGGAGTTTGTAACTTTCAAATCTGTGCTGTCATTATCACCCATCATTATGGCTCAAACCGAGATATGCATGAGAAACCTGCGTCTGTCAGAAGAGACGAAGAAGAAGGAGAAGAAGAAGAAGAAGAAAAAGGAGGAGGGGGAGAGAGAGAGAGAGAGAAAGAAAAAAGCACAGAGGAAGGGAAGAAGAAATGTGACAGCTGAGGCTCAGCGAGTGGGTGGTGAGTGCAGAAGGGGCAGGACCTGGAGTTGGCTGTGCTGTTCTCTACAGCTTGTCTCCTCTCATTAGGAAATGCCAATCAGACTACATGTGAACCACTTCCAAGTCTCCCCCACCCCAAAAAAAGTTAAAAAAGAAAGTAGAGAAGTTTGTTTGTTTTTCTTCTTCTTTTTTTTTTTAATCTAGCTACCACTAATCCACCTCCCCGTCCGTCTGCCTATCCCCCACTCGCCTCCCTCCCACCGTCACTCCACCATCTGCCCACCATTAATTGTTTGTGTTTCTCTCCTGGGCTGAGGATGACAAAGCCGCACAATGCATATGTTCTGACTGTGAGCAGGTGATATACGTTCCTGACTAGCACTTTGCTGATCGGCTGCGATGCACCTTCCCTTCTAAACCATATGCTCCGCTAGATACTGTCCAACCTCATCTCAGCGGTGAAAAGATGGAGGGTCCGGTTGCTAGGAGACCGCTGCACTGAAGAATCGTCTAGGCTGAATGGATGCTCTCTCTCTTTCTCTTTCCTTCTCTTTCTGTCTTTCTCATTTTTTTCATGAAGAGCCAGTAATGTCAATCAGATGAATGACAGCCCCCCGCCCCCCTCCTCTCGAGTAGTCAGCATTCTCTCCACGGAAATCAGTACTTCAATATGTCAAATTGAATTTTTGTTCCACATTATATGTCATAGGGAGGCTCGGGTGTGTATGGCTGTGTACGCGTGACCTCATTTAAAAGAGTTTATTTCAACCAATATCATTTATTTCCTTTGCCATTCACATAACCGAATTGCATTAAGAAAACAGAGCACAATATTTGTTGTCAACTTACGTATGCAGTGATGGATATTAATGTTTCAGCAGTTGAATATTTCACATTACATCCCTGAAAGTTATGAGGCACTTTCTGTGCCGCATGTGCAGAAAAACAAGGCGAGAGATGCTGGAAGGATAGTGAGATCTGAGTCACAGCTAGAACCTAAATGACTTGATTTAACAAACAGGAGCTCATTAATTGGAAAAAAAATGACATTTACTTCACACAGCGTGTGACATGCAACAGCAGGCATGATGCAAAGACAGTTTCTTTGTTTATAATTAGGTCAAAACTGAGCTTAGGGTTTGTCCCTAACCGAAAGCTTGCCGCACCTCCTTCTTGTTCCTGTTTTTCTGTCCCTGAGCAGCATGAGGTGGCCGCTGCTGGAGGTAAGCGTTAGGGCTGCTGTGTGTCGGTGACAGGCTATTACTGGGCATCTGTGCCTCTGTGTGTGTTTGTGCCCGTCTCTGAGCTGTGACAGGGTAGAGCAGAGGCATGGCAATTCCTTGTCCGGGCTTCTGGAAAGCTGCTATCAAGTTCCTGATTTGCCGGAAATATCGTTTCTGCACACCAGGAGTGGTCTGAAACACAAGAGGGTAAAAAAAAAAAAAAAGCAGAGGAGAATTCAGCTCCCTCGTCTCCATCTCCACATCAAACCCCACAGGGAAATGAAGAGGACAGGACGGGGACCGGTTTGAAATGAGCTCTCACAGATTCACCTTATAAAGAGACATCAGATACGCTGAAGGTAGAGGCAGAAAAACGGGTGCATGGCGAGCAGGGAAGCATGTCAGTTATATTTTCATATATCTGGTCCACACATTCACACTGAGCTCACATTTAAGGCAATAAAAAGGTATCAATAAATAAGAAGATGCAAAAGAAATCCAATCTGTAATTGCTGTGAAAACTACTGTGGCAGCATGGAAACTATACTCGTGGGGTTTACAAGCTAAATTAGGAAGATTCTGGTTGCAGTTGCCTCTGAAAGCATCCACTCCCCTGGGCTCTTTTTTATATTTTGCTAGTCAACAGAAAGCATTTATTTTCGGATTTATGTGTGACATCTAAGATGCTTTAAGTGTCCCAGCAGTATCTCAACAGCTTTACTTGTGACTGGATAAAACTGAAATAACACAAGGATCATTTTTAGAAGTAAAAAAAAGAAAAAGTTCATCTTCCGAGGTAACAAAGGTTTTACGTGACAGTTTTCATTTGGATTGAGTGAAATTTTATCCAAGATTTTTCAGGGATATTTGCATTATTACTGACCCTCGTCAATTTCCCACTTTGCCCACAGCTGTCCGTTTAAAATCTCTAGACTATAAAGCTTTCAAAGAATTATAATTTTGTCAAGTAAGGACTTTTAAAGAAAAGCATTATTTGTTTGTCACTCTGTGCGATCAATCATGCTGTGAGAAATGGTGAAAATCTTGTTCTTTCAGTGCATTTTTGAAATCATTCAATCAAACAGAGAAGAAGCAGCACTTTTCCAAAGCAAAGCACTTTGGATGTTTCTGTCTCCGGCCACAAGTGTTACCTCTGTTCCCGTGGAATATTTCATTAAAGTGATTGATATTGCACATGAATAATGTAAACTGTTATCGAGCTTGTAGTGAAATCCGTTTAATTCGAGTCCTCTCCCCCTGCTGTCTGTTGGCTTGATGCTGTCAGTAAAAATGAGCGAGGGTAAAATGTAGTTACAACAGCATTGAGCTTTAGTTGTCAGCGAGAGACACAGACTTCAGATGTCTCTATACGTTCACATCTCTGGGTGTTTGCCAACCCTCAGTGCTCAATTACATATCCCATCAGAAATGCTGTCAAATGCAATTCTACATTTCCCATCTCTGGAGTATATGCTGATGCTGTGGCGTCTTAAATTTGTGGTGTTGGAGTAGGGTGGAGGGTGGGGGGGGACTATCTCACAGGGTGTTATTGCTAAAGGAAAAGAACCCATTTCTCAGTGCTGTCACTCCTGAAAAAAAAAAAACATGTTTGCCTCAAATTCACAGCTTGCTGAATTAGGCTGCCACCAAAACAACCTCTAGAACTAATAAACACCAACCAAAGCGAGGCGGATGTGCAGCTGTTTTTGCCTCTCTTGTAAAGTTTTAGGGTACGGAAAGTATCGGTGCAGTATGAGAGCGAGTAATAAAATAATAAAGTGTCTCACTTCAGCGGCCCATGAGCCGGCGTCGTCCTTGTGGAGTCTGTATGTGTAGACGTATCCATTGTACCTGCACACACACACAGAAACACCTTTGACCCTGGGTTCATCTTTCAGCTTAATGAAATCAGTGTCATTGTTATTGCTCCTGGGAGACTTCACACTAAATAACAGGCCGCTATATTTTTTGTTTCAGTTAATACTTCATGCCTTTGTGCTTTGATTTTCTTAAATGTGAGGAGATCAATAATCTCTATAATAGCAGAAAATAGGATTATGTGTTGAGGTCTCAGTAAAGAAGCAAAGATATTGCACAATCTGTACTCACAGCACACACAGGCAGTAGACGCCTGGCACAGAGTCACTGTTGCGGACTAGATAGCACCCATCTCTCCCGTCCTGGGCCAGCCGCCTCTCCCCCTCCTCCTTGCCGATGGGTCCGTGGTAGACAGGCAGGTTTTCCATCACGGCTTCTCTCCAGATATGCTTTTTGTTCTGCTCCCAAGTGCCAGCTCTCCTCTACCTTCTCTCGCTCTTTCTCACCTTCAACTTTTACTGCGGGCGAGCCTTTTGGTCTTCACTGTGTATCCTCTAGACTGGGAACACAGGTGAGGCAGCTGTCCAGCCTCTCATTTGATTTTTGGTTCTCGCTGTTTCAAACGTCCGTTTGGGAGCCAGAGCTTCTGCGAGCCAGCTTTCTGATTTTCCACTTTCTTACTCAGACTGATAGCAGCTCTCTCTAACCTCTAACCTTTATGGGCTCATTGCGCAGCCTTCCTCTCTCACTACAACACACACACACATACACGTGTGCGCGAACACACACCTAAAATGTGGGTTTGTGTATCTCTCAGGAAATGATTGTATTTTTCAACAGGAAATAACTTCAAAGATTCTAACTGAATATTTCCACAACAATAGAAAGCACAAGAGGGGGATAAAAAAAAGCAATATCACTCTTTTCACACAGGAAAACGTATATTGTGCTTATGCAGTGACTTATACTGTTTCCAGCTCAATTATCAGGAGGCTGCACTTTGTTTTCTTATTAACAGAAGTTTGCTTACACTGTCTATTTTCACCACAGTTCAGTGTCAGTAGCATTTTACAGCTGTAGCTGTGGCAGGTGGAGTTAGTTTTAACTTCTTTAGGTAGTTTACTTTTTTCTTTTTTTTTTTTTTTAAAAAAAAGCCCTCTCTTTTTAACTTTTATCTAGTCTCAGCTTTTTGTGAAATATTGGATCATTTTTTGATTAAATACAAAAATCTAAGAAGTTTTGGTGGAGCTGCTAACAACTCATACACATCCAAGACATGATAAGTGCCTACAGCCAGGTTCTGGGATTGTGTAAGAGGTCACAAAGCAGTGAACAGTGCAATTTATTTATAAATTTGTCACTACAGCTACGACAAGTGGAGTAAAAAGTACAATATTTCCCTCTGAGATGTAGTGTAGTATTAGTATAATGTACCTCAACATTATACTTTAGCACCACACTTGGGTTAAGTAGCTACTTTCCACAACAAATTATAAAAATATCACCAATGCCTCATATTTCTCAACTTAAATAAGCATTAAAACACATAAAGAAAGACTAAGCCACAATGAGGCCCACTACTTTGATACATTACATTATGATAAATTAGAGACATTTTGTGGTAAACCTACAGACAGCTTGTGTTTAAAGTGTTCCCTTTTCTTAGCTTGTATTTTATCATCATCACACGTCCACACTGTAGCACATGTTCTCAGTCACGTCACTGATCTGTCTTCTTTAAGACGTGTGTCAAGGACACTCACACCTGCTCTGTGGAACATCAGCTAACGAAGCTGTGTACATGAACATACTGCGGAGCTGCAACAAACTCATCCCGCAATCTGTCCTTTCAGTTGGAAAGTTCTGCCGTGTCAAATTAAAGATGGTGATTAAAATATTGACTGTTTGCAGCCGTCCTCGTTTTACCGAGATGATGGTACAGCGTCTGGCACTTTAAGCTCGGCTCAGACGTGCTGAGATGTATATTATTCTCGGTTTTCATTCACACCACGGTCACAACTGCGTGGAGTCCCTCAGACCACCAGATGCTCCTTGCAATGGACCCTTCAAGGAAGGCAAACCAGATGATTGTGCCATTCAGTGCATTCTTTGAGCTGGTAGTTCTCTTTAAATGCAGCATTTGTTGGAGATTTCTGTTTTTATACATTCAGTATCCTACATGAGTCATCAGTCTGTGTCAGAGCCATCTTTCCCTCGGCTCAGAGAGATCATGAGCGGTGGGACTTTGGGGCTCTGTCTGGGTAAGCAGCCAGTGGCATCTTGTTCACTGCTTCTACAGCACTTTAGCGCCATCCAGTGGCAAGCTTTTCAAGATGAATAAGGAGCCACCTGCTGCAAGTAAGCTGAAGTAAAGTGCCCTGTCTTTCATTTGGGTCCCATATTTCTAAAAACATTTAGGCTGTATTGCTTTTAAGTCTGGAATAAGGAAAAGCAAAACCACTTCACCGTTTAGGCACAAAGAAAAGTATATCTACTATTATCCACTCAATATTCCTGTGTATAATAATCCCATAGCCTCCACCAGCGCAAAACAAAATTAAACCATACTCCCTTCGGCTCTGAGCTCACAGAGAGGCAGGCCAGGGTCAATGCAGAATGCAGTGGATCTATACTGGACACAAATAGCAGACAGAGATACATCATTGATTAGCTGGTGGCTCCCTCGACCAACACAACTGGCTGGACTGGAATGCTTCATAAGGACATTAGTATGAGATTATGATATCTGGCCTTGATATGTACGGAATCCATGTGAGGCATTCTAGGAGGGGAGGAAAAAGGGGGGAGACTGAATGCCCATCTGCCGGACCGACAGTAATCCCCGCACTCTCATTCCCAGGGGGGCGGAAACTCAGGAGTCACAGCTGTTGGAGGGTGAGATTGGGAAAGTAAAAAAATCATAAATGGAATCAGTTTCACAAAATTGTTGCATGTGTGTCTCTGAACTGAGATAAACTCAGCAACCTCCTGTTTTAGGGAAAGAAAGGTCGAACCCAACAAAGAAGTGGCACTGATAGGGAAATATTGTTCACTTTATTTCTTATTCAGTCAAAGAAATGCAGTCATTCTTATTTTCCTAATCTGTCTTTACAGAATAATATAATAAAAATGTTACAGGTTACATGATTACACATATAATATCTTTGTCCCAAAAAGAACAGTAATGGTAGCATTGCTATGACTGGTTAATAATTATTCTTCTTCTTCTGTCTTTCAATGTTTTGGCCTGTACAAAGCCAAAATGTAGTAGCTAGGCATTCAAAATGGAGAAACCTCAATAACATTGTGTTACCATATAAAATATTATGCTTTGGTATCATTTCAGAGAAATCACAGTTTGCAAAGCTACAAAATGAAGCTTAAAAACAAGCTAGCTGTTGAGATAGCTACAGCTAGCATTACAGGAGGTAAACATAAATGTACCTCTTCCTTCATGCCTGTTTTCATGTGATAAAAAACTATTATGGTCACCAAACATCTTAATATCAAGTTATGATCCCATGTACATGAGGCAGAAGCTAATTCCAACCATGATAAAGTAACAGCAGCTAAATTGGTCCTGCTAAACTAATACTAGCCTAGCTTAGCAGAGTAGCTGTAACTGACATGGGAGAACTTTGTGAACATAAAAACCAACATATCATTTATCTTTAAAGTTTATACAGAGAACTTGTAAAATTTGTAAGTCCAATATTCACACTCCATTGTTGGTCTCCACCAACTCCTGTGGAAAATATGAGGCTCCTTAGCTGCTAAATGTTGTGCTGTGTTCACCAGCTAGTCACCAACTGTTTCTGTCTGCTGTGCAGGTTGTTTGCAGTACATTCTTTAAAGCTATTTCACTAAAAACAGCTGACTGCTGCAGCTTTAAAGGTGTGAAGTGTATAAATTATCTGTTACACGGTTTGGCAAACTAGCTGCAAAACTTAAAAAAACAAAAAAGTGTTTTTAACTGTTTAAAAACAGTTCACTACAGAATTGAAAATACATATATTTCCTCTTACCTGTAGTGCTATTTATCAATCTAGATTTTTTTATGTGTGTGAGTTGCTGAGTGTTGGAGATATCATCAGTAGAGATGTCTAGGTTTTGTCCTACATAATGAAACTAGTTAGCACTCAGCTTGTGGTGCCCAAAGCACGAAAATAGTATATATGAAAAACTCAACAGCAATGTCTCATTCCAGAAATTGTGACCTGGTTACTCAAAATACAGCACAGACCTTGTTGTGAACAGCTTCATGTTGGAACTATTTCCTGTCTGCCTAACTACACCCACCAACCCTATCACCGTGCAGTCATGAGCACAAACTTCTTGTCCATGAGTGGAGTACACGCTTCCTTCTGTGCCATGATATGGGTGTAGTTCAGTAGAAAGAAAATATTTCCTACATGAAACTGTTCACAACAAGGTCTGTGGATTATCTTGAGTAACCTGGTCATGATTTCTGGAAAGAAACTTTGCTGTTGAGTTTTTCAAATGCAGATTTTGTTTTATTTTTGCCATTTGGAGCACCACAAACCGAGTGCCATTTAGTTCCATTATATTGGAGAAAAAGCAGACATCTCAACGTCCTATATCTCCAACATCAGAAACTCACACCAAAACAATCTAGATTGATAAAAAGTACCACAGGTAAGAGAAAACATATGTGTTTTTAGGGCGAACTGTTCCTTTAAACCTTTTTCCCCTCAGCTTCATGTTTTCTTTAGTTCCTTTTTTTCTGTCTTTGTAGGGCAGAATGGAGCTCTGCTGGACTTTGACTCAGTCAGTTATAGTAACAGCTCCGTCTCACACATTCATGCATATTGGAGTTTGGCAGTCACTTGACGCTGGCATCACTCTTTGGGGTGTGAGACCAAGTGAGTGAGGGGAAAGTCTCCCTTCTAGGGACTTGCTAAGCAGAACCCGAGGGCTCCACAATCGCCAGGTCTTTCAGGTCACTGAGTTTTCGGGAGAAGGAGCTTAGCCTGGTGCTAAAGGAGCCCCTCTTCTGGCTGTGATCATCGCCACGGACCTTCATACGAACACACAGGCCCTTGCAGAGCCCCCCGAGACGGCCTCGGAAATGGTTCCCGATGAAGCAGTATAGCACGGGGTTGATGGCAGAGTTAGAGAAGCCCAAGCAGAGGGTCAGAGGGGTGAGGTTGTGGATTGTCCAGTCTATCCCACAGCCATCCAACCAGCCATCACTCATCAGCACATCCAAGAAGGTCACGCAGTGGAAGGGGAACCAGCAGAGGAAAAAGGCCACGACCACAGCAGCTACTGTCCACAACACCCGCTCCAGCCCCCTGCCCTCCAGGGGTCTGCTCGCGCTAAAGCTGGGGCTCACGCAGGGAGTCGGGGGTCTGTCTGGTCTACTGCAACCGTCCCTGGACTCCAGTGATTTAAAAGAGGGCATGTTGGGGTGTGACACATTCTGCATTCTTACCAGCCCTGTATCAGCCAACAAATGTCTACCTATAGCACAGTAGCAACAAGAGATGACAAGCAGTGGCAGCAGAAAGGCCAGACACATCTTCATCCAGACCAGGGTCATATACCAGGTATCATCAGGATAGTCAATCACACAGGCCTCCACGCCAAGCCTCTCCAGGTGGTAAGTGTTCCTCAGGTAAAAGATGGGGGCCGAGCAAGCACATGCCAGCACCCACACCAGGATGCATGTAAGCCGGGCACGCTTGGGGTCTCGTGCACTCTGGGAGCGGAGCGGATGCACAATGGCCAGGTAGCGGTCTATGCTCATGCATGTGATGAAGAAGATGGACGCGTAGAGGTTGAGATTGTGGAGAGCTCCGCAGACTTTGCAGGCAACCCAGCCAAAGGGCCAGCTGTAGCCCTGGGAGTAGTAGACGGCCCACAGCGGGAGAGACAGCAGGAACAGCAGGTCGGATACACACAGGTTCAGCATGAAAGTGTTAGCAACAGTTCTCCTTGAGGCGCTGGCATGGGCCAACACGCACACTGCCAGGGCGTTGGCTATGGTTCCCAGCACGCAGATAACGCTGTAGATGGCGGGGATAACTATGGTCATGGGTATGGGAGGCCAGTCCGGGCAGTGGGGAGCAGAGGGGGCCAGAGAGGTGTTAGGTTCAATCTTTGTTGCTGAATAAAGGGAGGAGGTGGAGTTGAAAAGGGAGAGGTCATTTGGGATTGCCATTATGGAACTGGGTGTACCCTTGCGTCACACAATTTCACTTCCCTCCTTTCAGTTTTCCAAGGTCGGCTGGAAATAAAACAAAACAGACAGCATTCAAAATTCAGCTGCCTTTTATGGACACAGTAATGCATGGTAATCTTTAGCTGGCTGCAGTGTTTATTAGCTGTCCTACTTGATAACTAATCACAGCAAAAATACATTACACCACTCTTGAAGTTGGGCAGTAATGAAATACATATGAGGGCGTTGTAATGTTCTGGCTGCTTAATGGGTTCCTTAGAAACATCAATTGTGTATTAATGACTGAAATAAATTTTTGAAACATTTCATGAAAAAGTGTCATCTTAATTTAAGTTGCAATTGTTTTACAGGAATCTTAAATCACCTATTACGGTCCGGTGCACCAGGGGAATGCATTAATTATAGAATAAATAATAAAAAACAAATACAATCTAAAGAAGGCAATCAGTAAGATGTAGGAGGTTACATCTTTAAATAACTTTTTCCAATGAGAAAAATAATGTGACATTATGTTAAGACAGTTGAATTAGTGAAATAAGCTTCTGGATGCTTTATTAAATTAAATTAAAATTGAGATATGATCAAATCAAACTAGAGTAAATATATAATTTTGGTCTATTTAAAGAATTAATTTTACCTTTGAGTGATTAGGCATCCAGTCCAAAAGCAGTCAAGCCGTTTTCAGTGTCTCTCTTGGCTAAAGTCCATGTCTTGACAATTGCTCCTCGACCCCTCTAATAGAAACTGCACAGCTGAGTGCCCCAGACCATATCATGCCTCTGTGTTTGTGTGTGTGCATCTGTGTGTGTGTGTAGAAATCAGAGTGAAGGCTCTGAGAAACCAGATGAGGTTGGGGGTCTTATAGCCCCCAAGAGCCTCTTGATGATTGCACAACAGGGAAGTTGCTAACACGTCACGCCTCCATCATTACCAAGGGGCTGGACTGTACCTGGACACAGGCCAGCCTGCAGGGAGAGAGAGAATAAGAGAAACGTGCTCTCTCTGTTTTTCATTCTATCCCTCCTTTTTTTTCCCTCCCTCCCAGAGTTTCTACCAGAAAAGGCCAAAGCTAGGAAAATCAAGTCAAGATGTGAGTTTGAGAAATAGCTACATCTCCAGTGACTGCAGAAACACAACCATGTGTCATACCTGACCATAATTAACAGGACACCAGTGTGTTTGAGGTGTCAAACTTAAAGCTCTAACTGTCCCCACCGGGGCCTCTGACCTGAGGAACGGAGGCTGTGTGTTAATTAGCAGAGCCTCGCACTTTGTGTCATATTCGTCCTGCCAGCGGTCAGATAAGCCATGGGAAATATTTACTCTGTTTCAGCGGAAGTCAAGCCAGCTACTGGGGCAGAGGGAGAGGGGGGAGGCACAGTATGGAAGATGAATGAGGGGGAGGACGAGCAGATACTGCAGGGAGTGAACAAGGAGATGAGAAGGAAAGAGAGGGAGAAAGAGGAGGGAAAGAAGGAGAGAAAGCGGAGATTCCCTCCAGTGGTTTTTCATTAAAGCCTCTGGTGAAAGTTAATGAGGGATGCTCGCAAAGCTCTGAGACTGATTACATCACAGCTCCTTTGATCAATGGTGTGAGCGTGCATCTGTCCCTTTGTGTGCACGTGCGCGCGCATGTGCACGTGTGCGTCTATGCTTCAATACTTGTGCAACTGGATGTACTTAATCTCAGCCTGGCATGCAAGCATCGACGCGACGTGATCGCCTCTGTTTACACGCGTGTTCAGATGTGTGTGTGCACTATGCTCCATTGAGTATCTATCAGGATGTGACAAGTTCTAATAGCCGTGGGAAAGCTGACGGTGAGGATGACGGATGAAGGCGAGAGAGAAGGCAGCAGATTTTGAAGGCCGCAAATGAAGAGCTTCGTCGTTGGCTTCTTGATATGAGAAACTGGGAATCCACTGTATGGCACAGAATTGTGAAAATGTGATGGTTATGCTTTCCAAAAGGGAAACTTCATAATGCAGTGTTCTTCCACTGGCATGCTGGGTATGCACAGTTGTTCTCACACATACACACACACAGAGAAGCCAAGGGCCCTCAGTCATGACATGCAAAAACTAAAAACAGAAATTTATGACTTAATGCCGGCCAACAGAAACACATGGTGACAGAAAAAACACAACTATGTCCCCTGGCAGTTTCTCTGCAATCCAATGGGGTAATCAAGTACATTTACTCAAGTACAGCACTATAATTGGGGCACTAGTACCATTCTCTGCTACATTATGGCTTCACTACACCAAAATTAGTATAAAATAATAATTAATATTGTACTCTTTACTCCACCAGATGTATCTGACAGCTCTAGTTATCTTGTACATTAACATTCAACATACAGAACCATCAGTTTTTAAAGCATGATGAAACTACCTTCCAGTAGCCACCTCCGCCAGCCAAAACATTAAATCCTCCAAACATTTGTAAGGGATAATAATCCAGTAATTTAATGTAGCCTTTAACACTATGAAAGGGGGTATTCAGCATGATGAGTGCTTTCATTTCTAATACTTTAAGCATGTTTTGGCATAATCAGGGTGTCTACAGTTACCAAGGACTTAAATTTAATACTTCATGAGACCTTTATGAGATTATTGTTAACCAAATTTAAGACTGACTTCTGGAAAAAATCACATTTTTCTTATTTAAGCATTGCAGGTAAGTATAAAAGTAAGTATTTTGGTCCCATGCAGTGGTAGGTTTTATGTAGGGATATGATTATTAGAGTGGTTAATCTACATCTTGCCAACAGGTAAGTGCAAGTATTAAGTAAAAGACGGTACTAAATGGGCTTAAAGATTTCAGAAATCAGACATCAGAAATGTGAAATTTCACACAGGAGAGTTAGTCAAAGTGAAGGACCTGTAGACACCCTGGGTGCAATACTTTAATTAGTTACTTAACACTAACATTAGGCCTACTTACTTTTAAGCAACATTAACATTTTAGTTGTGCTAGCAGCACGAGACTGTTCATTACTTATGAGTGGGTGGTGCATAAAGGGGGAGGCATGCCAAATAATTTTTTAAGCACTGGGGAGGAACTTTTTTTTAATTTGGCTTAAGAGAGGAGCATACAAAATGAAATGGGTGTGTTTTGTATATATCTAACCAGCCATTGGCATGTTTTCTTTAAAAAACTACCAAATTCTCACCATTCATAATAGCCAGTGCCAGCCTGTGGTATAGGCAGTATTGGCGGATGCTAAGGGCACCATCATCCATGGGGGGCACCACAAATGGGGGAAGAAAAAAATCAAAATGTTTATCTCATACTGTTTTTTACTAGTACTATTACCACTATTATTTTATGACATAAGACCACAACAATATAACTAGCAAAGTCTCCTAAATAATAGAGAGGCCTTTTTTCTGGGTTCATGCCTCACCACGCCTCCTCAGCTTGCCTCGGACACCAAATGTGCCAGGGCCACCACTGATAATAGCCAGAAACTATAAAAACAAAATTTATTGATGGATTTTTCAATTTCTGATGGTTCTTTCGACACATCTTGCACATCACATCACAAATGCCTTTGTCAGACTAGATCTGAGCTAAAAAAGCGATAGGTCTGTTTAATCAGAATCACTTTATTCTACATCTCATTTAAAACTTGGCCCAAAATAAAGTTTGCATGTGCACAACAGGAGTGAAAAAACAAGATTTCTTTTTTTCAATACCATGATTTTTGCCTTCAGCTTTTAACTTTTAACTTTCACACATCAAAGCGTACGTTTTAAAAATCTAATTATGGTGGAGGAAGGATCATGGATGTTTCACCAGTCACTCAGGGAGGCTCAACGAAAAATATCTGTAGTTTGGGAAGGGTAAAAAAATAAAAACAATAAAATAAAGAACAAAGTCACACCCTAGCCATCCCCTCCTCTGATAAGTAAAGAACAGTCCCTATTGATACATTTAGTTTATGACCAAAAATCTGGAAAACTAAGGAAACTTCCAACCAAAGCTGCACTTAGGATTGAGCAACTGTTAGCATGCTAATACATTAAGCTAACGTTAGTGGATGTTGTATTCAGCCTCACCATGTTACCATTGTCTCTGTTAGCATGCTAATACATTGAGCTAACGTTAGTGAATATTGTGCTCAGCCTCACCATGTTACCCTTGTCTCTGTTAGCATGCTAATACATTGAACTAACGTTAGTGGATATTGTGCTCAGCCTCACCATGTTACCATTGTCTCTGTTAGCATGCTAAAACATTGAGCTAACGTTAGTGGATATTGTTCTCAGCCTCACCATATTAGCATTGTCCCCGTTAGCATGCTAATACATTTTTTTGTAAACATAATTTTATTGATTTTCTGGCTGAAACAAAATATTCACAAAATTCACAGTCTTATCAATAATATACAGAGAGAAAGAGAAACAAGAAAAATTAACCGCATGCTAATACATTAAGCTAACATTAATGGGCACTGTACCCAGCATCACAATGTTAGCATTGTCTCCATTAGCATGTTAGCAAGCTGGTGTTAGCATGAGGAACAGCCTCACAGAGCTGCTAGCATGGCTGTAGACACAGCTAACATGCATATTTTACATGTGTATTATTCTATATTATTAGTATTTTTACAGTCTACGGTATTATTACTAACATTATTTAATTACTAATATATTACTTACATAAGGAGTTGACGTCTTCCTGCACTGCTAACATTACAGTTAGCCTGTGAGTTAACACTCACTGAAACAGTGAAAAGATCACAGATGTATTGCTCTGTCTGCTACATAATGTTACACTTTAAGTCGACCTTGCTTTCACTTGGTTTTATCTCTGAGCAGCTCCCGTTTGACATTCTTGACCTTTATCAACAATTGGAGGGACAGTTTGACTTTATCCTATCTCCAGACAATCAATTCAGTCAGCTTGTAACAGTTAGTTCATATGTTGATAAATGTTTCACTTTCTGTGGCATTCATGACATGTAGAAATATGTCAGACTTGGTGCTACCAAAATCAAAACCTCCTCTCTCTGGGAGTTTCAGGCAGGAATTGAGAGTCTGGGTGATTAACAGTTTGAGCATGTGTGGGAGTGTGTGTGTCTGTGGGTTTTTGTCTGATGAACCAGAAGGCACTGTCCGTACAGGCAGTAGATAAGGAGAGCAATGGAGCAGAGAGCATCAAACCTCAGCTTACATCACAGCCCTTACTGGACATCAATCTCACAGCCAATTATTTTCTTTACAGTTATTTATTTATTTATTTGTTGTTTTTTTCTGTCTGGATTAAAAGCATGACATTTTTGCTACAGAAGTTTCTTTTTCTTTCTTCTACTGCTCTCATTAACAAGATCTATACAGCCTAATTTTTATACAGTATATCTATGAATGCTGCAACACGACCTCGTACAGCCAAGATATCAGTAGTCAAAATAACAAATGGAAAACTGATGCACACATACTGTTTCCGCTGAGCAGAATGAACAGCAAATATCTGATTTTATCAACATGCATGAGAAAACGAAACAGCACGTGCTCATGCACCCGTACTTTTTACGCACACACACGCTGACCTATTCAAATAAAGGAGAGGAGAACATAAACACATACTGTATTCACAAACACCCTTCAGTTGCTTACATAATTGTTATGTTTATGTTTTTTGCTGATAAATGTGCTATGTGTTTATTTGACGGCGGGGGTCTCCCTCGTTGGCCGGATCCTGGGAAGATAACCACAGCAAACCATAACCATCCATGAAGTTCTGCGTGGAAAATCGGGCTCATGGGGGTGAAAGGTGAGAGGTCAGGGCTGGGAGCCCTGCTTCCTCTCTGCTGGTCAAG